AATACTATAGACTTTCAATTTACTCTAAAGGCAGTGAATCATGCAAGAAAAACGAGCATAATGAAAAATTCCTTCAATCTACAAAATACAGATTTGAATCTAATCTAAATATGCATCGCATGTGACACAACTATTTTTTCTAAAACATGACTGGTGATAAAAATAATTCAGTAACTAGAATTCTAAACCTCAACAAAGTATATGCAACAGCTATATAAAAATACATTTTCAAACCAAAAGAACTGAAACCAGGAACCCAGACAGACATCCATACACCACCATTCATAGCAGTACTGTTTGCAACAGCAGAGGGAGAAGTAACCCAATTATCCATTGACGGATGGATGGCTTGCTGGTTCATTTTATGTGTCATCTGACTGGAGCGTAGAGTACCCAGATATTTGGTTAAAGGTTATTTTTGGTGTGTTCTGTGAAGTTGTTTCTGGATGAGATTAACATCTGAAATGGCAGACTGGGGAAAGCAGAATACAAGCAAAACAGCTGCATAATGATGAATTCCCTCTCTGCTTGTGATCTTGGAGCTGGAACACTGGTCTTCTGCCTTCAGACTCAGACTAGAACTTATACCATTGGCTCTCCAGAATCCCAGTCCTTCAGATTTGGACAGGAACCACTACATCTTCTCTTCCTGGGTCAGTAGCTTACTGACTGCACCCTTGTTTACTTCTCACCAATTCTTTATATTAAATCCCTTTATATATATATATATATATACACACACACACACACACACACACACACACACACATACACAATTGCCTCTTTCTCTCTGGAAAACCATGGCTCATACAAATAGATAAACAAAACAGTATATACATACACTGGAATAGTATTTAGCCTTAACAAAAAAGGAAATTTTGACTCAGTGTGAATGTACACTGAAAACACCACAGAAAGTAAAATAAGTCATCACAAAAGGACACATATTATATGATTCTACACATATGAAAGAACTAGAGTCATCGAATGCATAGAAAGAGGAAGTAGAATGGTAGCCCCCAAAGGCTCCAGGAAGAGGAATGGAAGTTATCATATAACAAGCATAGAGTTCATTTCTGTAAAGTGAAAACAGTTCTAGAGCTAGATGGTAGATGGTAGTGCTAATTGCACAACAACATGAATGCCTTTAATGCCACTGAACTGTATACTTAAGAATGCTTATAATGAAGGTCACTGATGTGGCACAATGGGTTAAACCGCTGCTTGTGAGGCCAGCATTCCATATGCACTGGTTCTTGTCCTGGCTGTTCCACTTCCAATCCAGCTCGCTAATTATATGCCTGAGAAAGCAGCAAAAGATGGCCCAAGTATCTGGGCCCTTATACTCACGTAGGAGACCTGGATGGAGTTCCAGATTCCTGGCTTCAGCCTGGCCCAGCCCCAGCTGTTATAGCCAGCTGGTGAGTGAACCAACAGATAGAAGATCTCTCTCTCTCTCTCTCTCTCTCTCTCCCTCCCTATCTTTCAAAAAAATAAAATATTTTAAATAAAAACGGTGTTTATAAAGATGCTTATACAACAATGGTCCCTTTAAGAGTATAATATAGCTGAAATTTCCTACTGCCTAGTGATGATTTAGTATGATGTGTTACTCATATGTCTGTAGTAGGGCTGTTTTAAATAAACCTACTATGCTGCCACTCATAAAAGTATAGCACATATAATTATATATAGCATATAATATTTTATCATAAACTATATTATTGGTTTATATCTTTATCATACTTTTTATCATTAATCAGACTGTACTGCTTCCACTGGAAAGAAATAAGTTTAGTATAAAACAGTACGCCCTCTTACACTGGCAGCAGCCACACACATCTAATGTTTACTGCATCTCTTGATCGTATCCTTTTCTCTTGTGCTTGAAATAATCTTATGTTGTTCTTACTTCATCATAGTCCTAGGAATAACAGGCTAGACCCTTTATGTGGTATACATACCAGTTAGCCTAGGTGTGTAATAGGCTATATAGGCTGGTGAAAGTACACTCTATGATGTTTGCACAACAAAAATTTGCCTGATACACAGAATATATTCATCATTAAGCAATCTAGGATTATATGTACATTGTGGAGTTTAATTTGACCATTTTGATGTCTCTTTTGTTTGTACTATCTGTTCTTCATTTTAGTTTTACTCTTTTTATCTACTTTCTTTTGAATTTTTAAAAATTAACAGTTCATTTCTTAGAGCAGTTTTAGGTTTATAAAAATTGAGCTGTGTATTAGGGTTCTTCAGAGAAACAGAAACAATAAGAGATATTCAAAAATATAAATGGTCTAGGACCAATTAAAAGGTAGTGTCACCAAAAAAACAAGACTCATTTATATAGTGGCTACAATATAAAGATACAGAAAAGTTAAAAATAAGACTGAAGGTCAACATTGTGGCACAGTGGGTTAACGCTCTGGCCTGAAGCGCAGGCATCCCATATGGGCGCTGGTTCCAGACCTGGTTGCTCCGCTTCAGATCCAGCTCTCTGCTATGGCCTGGGAAAGCAGTACAAGATGGCTCAACTCCTTGGGCCCCTGCACCCACGTGGGAGACCTGGAAGAAGCTTCAGGCTCCTGGCTTCAAACCAGCCCAGCTCTGGCTTTTGCAGCCATTTGGGGAGTGAGCCAGCAGATGAAAGATTCCTCTCTCTCTCTCTGTGCCTCTGTCTCTGTAACTCTACCTTTCAAATAAATAAATTAAAAAAAAAAAAGACTGAAAAAGACAACATGCAAACACAAACCAAATTTAAATCTAGAGTAGCTATATGAGTACATACCATAAAGAGAACAGTTCTCAAACAAAAAACAATATATCAGAGAAAAGGAAGAACATTTCATAATAATAAAGGAGTTAATTCAATAAGAAGATGTAATAATCCTAAATGTGTATGTATCAAATAAAAGTACTTTAAAAAACTGAAAGAACTGATATTGACTGGGAAGAAAATTAAACCAGTCCATAATTATACTAGACACTTTAATGTTCTTTTCATAATAATTAATCAAGTGGGCATACAGAAAGTAGGTAAGGGTAGGGGCCAGCACTGTGATGCAGTAGGTTAATCCTCTGCCTTTGGCACCGGCATCCCATATGGGCGTAGGTTCTAGTCCCAGCTGCTCCACTTCCCATCCAGCTCTCTGCTATAGCCTGGGAAAGCAGTAGAAGATGGCCCAAGTCCTTGGCCCCCTGTACCCAGGGCTCCTGGTCGGCTCAGCTCCGGCCATTGCAGCCATTTGGGGAGTGAACCAGTGGACAGAAGACTGACCTCTCTGTCTCTCCCTCTCACTGTCTTTAACTCTACCTCTCAAATAAATAAATAAATAATCTTGAAAAAAAAAAAAAGGAAGAAAGAAAGGTAAGGATATAAAAGACTTAAAAAACTATCAACTCAACTTAATTAACATTTACATAACATTCTACCAGACAACACAAATCACCAACATGGCCCATGTTATGAGCAATAAAACAACTCTCACTGAACTTAAAATGACTGCAGTCACACAAAATATTTCATTAACTTAAAAATCAATGAGGGTCAAACACCCTGCTCCCTTCCTCCTGTCTGATAACATTTGCATCCATAAAGTCCTTTGTTTCAGACCTTCAAGAGAAAACTCTTTTTTTTGCAAAACTCAGGGAGAAGTTTCTTAACATTTGCATCCAAAAAGCCCTTTGTTCCAAGAGGAACAGGTGGGGAAGTGAGACCCATCTCCTTAAAAACCCCCAGCCTCAACTGGACTGCGCTCTCAGCCCTCTGCCTCTATGCTGAGTCGCCCGCCTGTTCTGGGCAGGTGTTATCTCTCCACCCAACCATGTAACCTCGCTCCTTCCCCCCACCCCAGTCCGAGCGACTGGGCACCCTCTCAGGCTCTGTCTGGAGAGGTGCCCATCCATCCTTACAGATGTCCCTTCCCTAATAAACCTTGCTATTTTACCTCCCACTAAAAAAAAAAAAATCTATTTTGAAAATACCTGCTTACTAGACACAAAACCACACACTACCAAAAGGAAATTGAAAGGAAAATTTTTTTAAATCTTGAACTGAATGGAAAAAGTGACATGTTGAAATTCATGGGATGCAGTATTTGGAAGAAAATTTATAACACTGAATGCTTATATGAGGAAGCAAGAAAGTTCTCAAATCAATTATCTAAACTATTTGGGAACAGAAAAAAAGAACAAACTAAAATGAAATAAGCAGAGGAAAGAAAATAATAATAATAATAATAGAAATCAAGTAAATGGGAAAACAGAGAAATAGACAAAAGCCAATAAAATCAAAGGCTGTTTCTTGAAAAGAGAGACCACGCTTTACAGGGAGAGGGAAAGAGAGACCATGCGCAGGTGCTCCCATCCACTGGTTTACTCCTAAATGCCTGTAAGGGTGGAGCTGAGCCAAGGCCAGAGACAGGAGCTGGGAGCCAGGAACTCAATCCGTATTTCTCTCACAAGTGGCAGGAAATCAATTACTTGAGCCCTTACCACTGCTACCCAGGGTCTGCATTGGCAGGAAGTTAGAGTCAGCAAACAGAGCCTGGAATGGAATCCAAGCACTCTTATGTGGGACACAAGCATCATAACCAGGCTAAATGCATGCTCTATGAGACCAGTGAGCTGGGAAATAAGAAAACAAACAAGCTATTAACATCAGGGGGTAAATGCTAGGCCACTGAAAAAGTAATGGGAAATAATTAAGAAAAATACTATGCTAATAAATTCAACAATTTTGGTAAAATGGAAAAATTCCTTAAACAACCAGTCTGCCAAAACTCATTCAAGAAGAAACAGATAATCTGAATAGCCCTATATCTAGAAAACAAACTACAATCAAACTTCAAAACTTCTTACAAATGGGTAAAAGAAGCAGCAAAAAAAAAATAATCCCAGATGGCACTGCCTATAAATTTTATCCAACAGTTAAAAAAGAAATGCTATTTGTACATTAAACTCTTCTAGAACACAGAATAGCAGGAAGTACTTACCAACTCATTTATTTATTCATTTATTTTTAAAGACATATTTATTTATTTGAGAGGTAGAATTACAGCCAGTGAGAGGGAAAGACAGAGAGAAAGGTCTTCCATCCGCTGGTTCACTCCCCAAATGGCTGCAACAGCTGGAGCTGAGTCAACCCGAAGCCAGGAGCCAGGAGCTTCTTCTGGGTCTCCCATGCAGATGCAGAGGCCCAAGCTTGGGTCTTCTTCTACCGCTTTCCCAGGCCATAGCAGAAAGCTGCATTGGAAGAGGAGCAGCCAGGAGTAGAACTGGCACCCATATGGGATGCTGTCACCGAAGACAAAGGATTAACCTACTGCACCACAGTGCCGGCCCTTTACCAACTCATTTAAAGCCGGCATTATCCTGATACTGAAACCAGATACCAATTTTAGAAGAATGTTGTAGAATAATATACATTCCAAATATACATACAAAAATCCTCAATAAAAATTTAGCAAATATAACCCAGCAATACATAAATATAACAATATATCATGTCCAAATAGAGTTTGTCCAAGCACTGCAAGGCAAGCTCAGTATTTGAAAATCACTGAATCTAATTCCCTGAAGTCTAAGCTCTAGGTTTCAGGATCCCAGCTGCAGACTGACCTTAGGTTGGTTCCAATATGTTTTATATCCTCTTTAGACTAATGGCTAAGTCCTTTGCACGGAGAATGGAAGAAGCTCAAGAGCTGACAGGTCAGACCACAGAGCACAGTACAAGGCTCTGCTTGCTTCAGGCCAGCTAACAACCCACTGGCCAAAGCAAATCACTTTGGCCAAAACCTTTACCAACAGGATGGGAAATACACTCTTCCCTCAAAAGCAAGGAAGAGTAATATCTAATGAACAATAATCAAGACTATCATACTAATTCAATTTTAAAATATGTTAACATCCAGAAGAATTTTTAATAAAGATGTGATTGCAATGTATAGGCATCGGGGTTAGTAGTATATAAAATACTAAAACTAAAACTAAAAATTCACATGCCCTAAGAAGATTGGTGATAGAACATTTTCTGAGAAACATAGCAAAAATGGGTCTAACCAATCACTAAAGTCTCAGTAGATAAAACCCTGTAAACCACCAAAGGAAAAAGTTGATGTTTTTGAGAAACGGAAGAATTCCTTATGAGCCTATCTCCATTGCCATCTCCAAAACAGATGAACTCTTCCTTTAATAAGTCATCATCATCACCCTCCTGCCATCTTCATTATCATCATCATTTAAGTAAACTAGCTTAAACTTTCTTCCATGATGCATTGCTTTATCTCTGTCCACCTTCAGTTTTACATGCCAATTCTCTGCCCATTAATACAATCTTACGAGATTTTTTCTACCACTTATGCCATTATCTGAAGCACTTTTCCCATTTATGAAAAAATGAAATCCTCCTCAGCTATCTGGTCTTGTCACATAAACGTGAAATCTTCTAATGAGCAGTAGTCAGTAATCATCCTCAGTTCATTGCTCATGAATCATAGTCCAGTTTTGAAGAAACAAGAATAAAATTGCTTTCCTGTTTGGGAAGGAATAAAGTTTTATCAGTCTGCCAATTTGTTCTAAAATTACCTTACTATGCATTTGCCATTTTATTTTTCTAATATTCACAATCTGACTCCTCCATTAACCCATTATGTCCCATCATCTCATATATAGAGGACACCTATAAAGATTTAAAATGAGCAATAAATAAATCACTTATGGTAACTTTGAAATATGCAGTATGCTGTTGAAATATTCACAGAATTGAAAATGTGGCACTTAATGGGTTCATCCCTACAACCCCACATGAATAGCATTATTTTATTCCCTTTGTGTGAATAAAGAAAAAGAGAAGCTATGGAGAAGCTAATCATCACGCCCATGAGTAACAGAAAAAATCTGAGTTTGAATACAGATAGTTCTATCTGCTGAACCTATCTAGGAATATACTCTCTTTACATGAAGCTAGTACCAAAATATCCAGAAACTCAATCTGAACTCAATATTGCTTGTGGGACTGTAAATTATAACCACAACACAGGAGTTCAAATTTTCAAGTTATCAAGCAAGGCTGAAGATGTACAAAATCTATCTAGTTGGAAGCCCAGCACATTTATATGGATGGAAATTCTCACACATATTCTTTGTCCTCATTACTAAATCACCTTGAGTGTGCTGGATCATTCCAGCAGCACATAAGCATGCAGTAAGAACTGCTGCTGTAGGACTGCCTACAGCTACCTTCCCAGTCTCTACTCAAAGTTCTCTACTCAGGCTTTCATATCCATCAACTGACTAAAGTCTTTGTGGATCACTAATAACCTCCACATCATATGACTTAATTACTCCTTGTCTTTTTCATTTGTCATTTAGGGTGTACCTTTTACTCCTGGTTCTCAGGCTATCTTGCTAGAAATTCCTTTTCAGACTCTTTCGTTGGTTCTCCCATCTTTCTACCCTACAGGTCAAAGTGCCTGTGGTTCAATCTTTAGTCCTCTTCTCTCATCTAGCTACAGTAACAACTTAGGGGGTATTAGTTAAGACTATGACTTTAAATACTATCTCCATGCAAATACTTTCCCCAGATTTTCTAACCCAAACTCCCCCAAACTCCAGACTCAACTTCTTGTTTAAGTAGTACCCCAATTTAATATGTCTAAAACCCAACCCTTGCCTTTTTATTACCACCACCACCCCCAATTTACTTTTACCATTTTTTAAATTTAAATAATGACATCAATTTCAACCAAGAACCTACAGGCTTGTTTCTTCTCTAATGTATATGTCTACTATATCGGCAGCACATGCCCTCTCTTCCTTATAAAAATATATATCCAGAATTTGTCAATTCATCACCATACACTTGCTACCAATCTAACCCATGCCATCGTGGTCTCTCCTAGTAAAGACTTAGTCTAGAAAACCTGGAAAAAGCAAACTTCTTAACCATCTTTGACCGTTTTAAGTAAGGGCTACTTATGCCATTCCCTGAAGAGATCATTACCTCTGAAAGCAGGGACAAGGCGACACAAATTGAGATAAAAACCTGGTTGCTTTATCCTATATCCATTGAGGCACTCATGATAAAAGAAGCTGGCAAGAGATTCTTGGGGTATCCTTATTATCTAGGCTGAAATACCAGGGTGGGGCAGCAAACAAGGATTCAGAGAAGCAGTTGTCTCATGGTTGTATGGTACATATTCAACTGGAACATCTGCTACAAAGCATATCTTAGAACCCTGCAAGACCAGATAGACTCTACCATGAATCAAGTAAAAGGCAACCCTATCACCTGCCAGCCCTGGTGAGCATTTGAATGTTTTTCCTTTCCATAATTTATGTGGGAATGTGTCTGCCACTGGAACAGCATTGAAAAGTCAGACCTTTAAGAGATGGCACAATTATAAAAGAGTGAGTTCAGAACACTTTTTTCTCTTGACTCTTCCACCACAAGATGATGCAACAAAAAGACCCCTGCAAGATTCCCACACCTTGATATTGGACCTCCAAAACTGTGAGCCAATAAATTTCTGCTCGTTATAATTACCAAATCTGTGGTATTCTGTATAACAACAACAACAAAAAAAACAGAACAAGATAGTTGGTATCTCAACATTTAGAAAATCCCTAAGATATTTTTTCCATCATCAAATAAAGTAACTGTGAGAGCCTGGACAGGTTACTTAGATAATCTTACCTTGTTCAGGCCATGAGACAGATTGAAATATTTGATAATGAAAACACCTTGCAGTTCAACAATGAATACTTCTTCTAGGAGTAAAATTGTTTTAGATAGCAGATTTTTTTTTAAAGTCTAGAATTCAAAATTCCCTAAAAATGTCTAAGATAGATCACTTCTAAAGTGTTAATATGGAAGACTTTTCAAAAAATATCCCTAGTGCCAGTGCCCCAAAGACAGAATACAGGAATAGGTAGATCATTATCCTAACCCTCTGTGACATCCCAATCAACAAAAACATGAGTTAGGCACTAGTCCTGATTCAAAACACTTAAAGTATTAGTTTTATCATTAAATGTATGACCTTGAATAAGAAGATGGAAAAGGGTACCATAATACATTGTTGGTGGGAATGTAAGCTAGTACCACCATATATATATGGAAGACAATATGGAGATTCTTCAGAAATCTGAAAGATCTACCATATGACTCAGCCTTTCCACTCCTGAGAATTTACCTAAAGCAAATGAAATCAGCATGTGACAGAGTTATCTGTACCCTCATGTTTATAGCAGCTCAACTCACAATATCTAAAATATGGAATCAACCCAGATGTCCATCAACTGATGACTGGGTAAAGAAATTGTGGTAATACATGATAGAATACTACTCAGCAATAAAAAGAATGAAATCCTACCTTCTGCAACAAAATGGATGCAATTGGAAGCTATTATGTTTAGCAAATAAAACTGTCCCCAAAAGACAAATATGTTTTCTCTGATTTGTGGTAACTAATATATAAAGTGAAAAAAAAAAGTATATGAGCAAAACTGACATTTTGAAATTTGATTATTGTTTTTAGCCCTTGTCCACACTCTTGAGGAACAGTGGTTTTTCTACTTACTACTTGAATTCTTCACTTAGTGGAAGGTTCAGCTTGCAATTATAAACTAAATAGAAAATATGTCACTGTAAAAATTAAAAGAAAAGGGGGCTGGTGCTGTGGCACAGCAGGTTAAGCAACTGTGTACAGTACAGACAGCCCATATGGGTGATGTGTTTGAATCCAACTCACTGCTAATGCACCTGGGAGAGCAGCAGCAGGAAGCTAAAGTCCTTGGGCCTCTGTACCTACATGGGAGACTTGGAAGAAGTTCCTCACTCCTGGCTTCAGCCTTGCCCAGCCCCAGCTGTCGTGGCCATTAGGGAGTTAACCAGTAGATAGAAGATCTATCTATCTCTTTCTCTCTCTGTCTGTAACTCTGCCTTTCAAATAAATAAATCTTTTTTAAAAAAATTAAAAGCAAAAAAAAAAATAAAATCAAAATAAGAAAGAAAGGAAAGGGTTGAGGGAGGGAAGGTAGGGTAGGAAGTATTATGCTCTTAAAACTGTATATATGAAATACATGAAATCTGTTCCCTTTATATAAATAAAAACTATAAAAAAGTTAAATAAAACACCTCAATGAAATAATTCTCATATCTGTAAAACTACTTGATTAGATGATTTGTTTGCTTAGCACATACTACAACTCAGATGCTGCAATAGTTACTGTGAGGGATGCAAATAATTGCAAATGGCTAAGTACCAATAGTTTTATTTTAGAAGTGAAATGAATGGAAGGTCACCTAAATATTTCCTGAAAAAGCAAATTAAGTATGTACCTTTCAGTGCTGTGGTCTTTTCTTTTTCATCTGGACCTCCCTGCTGCATTTGTGCCACGTTTATCCAAATTGGCAATAAAATTAAAGAGCTCAAGGAAATAGACATCAATCTTCAGAAGACAGTCTAGAATGAATGAAAGCAATAAATTAAGCTCTACTCAAATCCTATCTACTCCATGAGAAGTTCCTAGATCCTCCCAGTGGGAATTACTCTCTCTATCCTGATTTCCCATTGCACTTTGTTGATCCCTATACCATAGTACTTATCATTGCTTGCTTTTGCATTAGGGTTGTGTATTTATCCGGGTCAGCTAACAGCTTACAAGCTTGAAGAATAAAGGTATCAAATTGTTGTCACCACTGAATTTCTTGTGTCAGCTAACACAATACCATTTACATACAAAAACCTAATGTTTGCTGAACTGAATTTAAACAAATTAAATATTTAATTTTAGTTCCCTATCACCTAATGATTTTTAAAAATATCTTCAGTCTGCTTCAAAAACTTGAGATTTCTTTTACAACCAACTGTAAATATGTACCATTTTAAAAATCAGAATATCTTTCTCCTGGAACTTACAGGAAGAAAGGAAAAATACATAAATAACAAAGTGCTTACAAAGTACCTCTGATTAAAATACAACTTTAAGGGAAAAAATGCTCTTTTAAAAATGAAATTACAGTAATATCTGGAAGTCATACTCTATAAATGGCACTCTAGTAAACATTCACAATATACAATTATGATTTATTAAAATCTAATTGTACTCTACTTTGGCCAAAGAGAAGACATTAAAACTACAAACAGGATGAACAGGAAAACAAAATACTATTTGCAAAGTAGAAAAGAAAAAAAAAAACACAACAGGGAAATTTTAATTTAATCAATCAATGGCCATTAATGGAATTACATAAAAACTACATGCATGACACTAATAAGGCCAGACTGAATACAACTCTGATTAAGGAACCCAACAGATTTGTGACCTGCAAAGCACATTCAGTATGCGGTTAGAGGTCCATTATATCTTTAAATACAAAGGCATTTCCAGAATATAGTAGCAACTATCTGCAAAACAAAATTAGTATTTTTAAAGTAGGAATGTTCCAAATGCTGCTCTTATCTCAATTCCAACTGCTGGTGATGTTATTTAAGAGGGAGGGTCCCCTTCTCCATCATTAACTAATCAAGGTACCTGGACAAATTCTTTAACATCTCTGGGCCTCACTTCCCATATTCATAAGATGGAAATGATTGTCATGCTCCCATCACAGTGTTACAGTGAGGTTAAATGTAAAACATTTAGTATCGTGTCTGGCCCATAAGTAAATGCTCATATCAACATACATTAGCTTATATTTTTTAATTGTTGTAAATGAATTCTAGCTTCATCACTTAATAACAATTTCGTGGCCTGTGGCAAGTTCCTTAAGTATTCAAAATCTTCAGAGTTATCTGTATCTCCATGTTTGTTACAGCTCAATTCACAATAGCTAAGACATACGATCAACCTAAATGCCCATCAACAAAAGAAATTATAGGATATGTACTCTATGGAATACCACAGAGGTAAAAAAAAAAAAAAAAAAAAAAAAACCACACACAACCAAAATCTGCTCATTTGCAACAAAATGGATGAATCTGGAAAACATCATACTTAGTGAAATAAGCCAGTCCCAAAGCGACAAATAACGTATGTTCTCTCTGATCTGTTACAATTAACAGAGTACCTAAAAGAAAACCTGTAGAAGTGAAATTGATACTATGTGAAACAATGACTTGAAAAGCCCATTAGTTGAACTCTTTACTTAACATAGGTGTATAAAATGAACTGCAAATAGATCCCAGTAAAAAATAAGAATGGAAATAAGAGAGAGAGGAGCTGTACAGTTCGGCACACATTCCCACAGACTTGCCCCTAATGGTAAAGCTGAAAACTTGCCATAGGACTCCAAATCCCATTAAGCTGGGTGGCACTAACACCATCTTACATGTAAAGGTGATCATATTAAAGTGTGCAACTGATCATATATAGATAGGATTAAGTGTCAAAGGGATCACATAAATAAGACCAAATGTCTGGTAATTAACAATAGATAGAATTGAAAAGGAGAGAGTGTTCCAACATGGGAAGCAGGCCACACAGCAGACTTTAGAATGACAAACGCCCTAAACAACACTCTGACCTCAGAATCAGCCCTTAACACAAATGGATCTGGCTGAAAAGCCCATGAGAGCATTTCAGGCATGGAAAGTCAAGACACTGTTACAAAAAATGTTCTATATAAAGGATTTCTGTGAGTGAGACTCCAGTGGAATGAAGGAGCTATCAAAGAAGGATGTACTTTTCTCTGAAGGGAGGAGAGAACTTCCACTATCTAAATACTGACAGAGTTTGTGGACTCAAAAGGCTTCCACAACCTTGGCAGCTCATATCAAGAGCCTTAGGTGATCACTGATGTCATAAATATGAGTGTTAATTGTTAAATCAACAACAGGAGTCACTGTGCACTTGCTCCTGTCCTTAATGAGCTGTACTATGAGAATTAACTGTAAAACTTGTTTTCAAACAGTACTTTACATTTTGTGTGGGAGGGTGAAAGTTGTTGAAATCCTTACTTAGTATAGAGTTTGTCTTCTGTATATAAAGTTAATTAAAAACAAATCTTAATGAAGAATGGGATGGGAGAAGGAGTAGGAGGTGGGACAGGAAGGGGGTGGGAAGGCGGGTATGGGAGGGAAGAACCACTATATTCCTAAAGCTTTACCTATGAAATTTGTATCCATTAAATAAAAGCTTTCTTAAAAAAAAATCTTTAGTTTCCGTATTTATAACATGTGGCCTACATTTCATATATTAATAGTTGAGAATTAAATATTATAGAATAGTATAGGGCCAACCATTGCTAGGATAGTTGTATTACTACTACTCAATGGTATATGAGATTGCCTAAAAGGGATTACTAGAATATAAGGTTACTTTTGGGGGCTGGCAGTGTGGCACAGAGGGTTAAAGCCCTGGCCTGAAGCGCCGGCATCCCATATGGGCGCCAGTTCTAGTCCATGCTGCTCTACTTCCAATCCAGCTCTCTGCTACGGCCTGGGATAGCAGTGGAGGATGGCCCAAGTTTTTGGGCTCCTGCACCCATGTGAGAGACCCAGAAGAGGATCCTGGATCCTGGCTTCCTATCGGCCATTGTGGCCATCTGAGGAGTGAACCAGCAGATGAAAGACTCTCTGTCTCTACCTCTCTCTGTAACTCTTCCAAATAAAAAAAAAAAAAATTAGTTTTGACCAGGAAAACATTTTAATTTGGCATTGAGGCAGCTCTTACTCTGTGAAGAAGTAAAAATTATATAAATTTGAGATGTGTAACAATGAGCTTATATTCCTTCAAGAAACATATCTTAGACTACAGCAAAGGTAACTTGCAAGATTCTGTGAGTGTAGTTGTGAGTAAAACAGAGAGGGTCACTGCTTGGGGGCTTACTTTTTAGTTGCCAAACTGAACTGACAAGCAGCCAAAAATGAAATACATCAAACCTAGGCTGATAATGACAACACTGTTCCAACAAAGCAATATTTGTAAGGGGTATCGATTTACATTGAGGAATTAGTCTGATATGTCACAAATTTATGTACATGTTCCACCAGCAACTGTTTATCATACTACACTGTATCATAAATTAAAAGAGAAATTTTCCTAAGAGTTTCCACATAGCACCCCTTGCTACCAATTCCACTATTAAATGAACTATCTACAGGCCTTCTGGAATTTCTTAGCCCATTCCTTTTTTAATACAGTATTTCTTCTAAATATAAGCTATTTTTTAAAATTTTTATTTAAGGTAAATAAATTTCATGTATTTCATATGTACAGATTTAGAAACATAGTGATACTTCCCATCCTGCCCTCCTTCCCACCCATACTTTATCATTGGCACCAAATTGATTCCCAAACAGAATAATTTATATGAGTATTTAATTATGTTTTAATGAATGCAAAGTCACAAATATATTGTTAATGCTACAGTCATTTTCTAGATTCTCAAGAGTAAATACCAACTATAATTACTTTTATTTTGTATGAGACAACCTAAAACGTCAAATAGCAAGTCAAGGCCATGATGATATATAAGTTAGGAGACTACTGATTACTACATGTGACCCTAAACGTTATAGTACGAGATGCAAAGCAAGAAAGCATGAAGCAAAAGCAATTTGTCCGTTGCTCTTATACACTGTGTTAGATTTTAACCCTCTTGAGTTATTTTCCATGGCTGTGGCACAGCTGGTGAAGCTAAATCAGGAACATTATAAATTCTCAATTTAGTTTTCCTAATAAAAATTCAGAGTTATAACCTGCATGACCACAGATAAACACCACTGAAAATGCAGCCAGCAGGCTGTTTGGTATATTTGATATATATTAATATGTGCACTCGACATAGTTTATTTGGCATTATCTGATGGAGGTTAGGTTATAGGAAATAAAGTGGAAGAAGGTTTTTACTGATGTGAATAGGGACACAGTTGACATGGTATATACTTCATGATAACCACTGCTGTTTAAATATGGTTTCCTAGAAATGGTTACAGTACAAACTAGATTCAAAACATCTCAGTTTGCGATTTCATTCTGTGAACTACACAAAGCAATTATCATATCTTCTTCCTTTCTATGATTCCAACAGAGAATCAACTATGTATAAATAAAGCTATAAATAACTTGTCATGTGTAATCTTTATCTAGTCAGCATTTCAAAACATGAAGCAGTGGAATATTTATTTGCCCTGTTGGCTCAAAAATACAGCATGAGCTCTTACAAAAAAATAGAAAGATACACAGAAGCCTTACTTTTCTACATTTGTTTCTTTTTAGGCAGGTACTAAATACAAGTTAAATACAGGCAATTTTGCAACAGAAGCCCTTCCCACCTCACATTCTGACTGCATCAATCAAACTGTAAAATATATTGCAGAATAAGTAATATCGGGCTAATTCTTGGAGGCCCCCAAGACTAGTCAGGTTCTGATTTGACCGCAAAGAATCATACTCAGTAAGCTGGCTCTAAAAATCAAGCCCAAAATAGCCTACTTGTAAGTGACATCAGTACCAAAGA